CACACATTTTTTTTTTTTTATAATTCAAGGACAACTTAATAAATCTGAATAAATAGAAGTCCTCTAGTGGGACAACGGTAATTTTCCGGAGTTACAATGCTAAAATTTAGGGGTTCGATTTCCCGCAATGAACAAAGCGCAGATAGCCCATTGTATAGCTCTGTGCGAAAACTTTACCAACAACAACATATGAGCAGTGTCTTCACGATTACTTTATGATGGGGTGAAGTGGGGGATGAACCAAGTGGAATACAAAATTTTACTCAATGAAAGACAACGAAACAATCATTTAAAAGAGTCTAGTTGCAATTCTTAAGCTCTTAAAAAAATACTTTTGGCAATGAAAATCATGATCATAAACTCGTACATTTATCAATTGTGTTTTATGCAAATCGAAATGGATATCTATGTCTCATGACTCTGAATTTTTTCTGAATTACATTTGTAATAGCGCTTTTTTTAAAAGAAATTCATTAAATATGTGAGAATCAATATTGAAACCTAGTATGTACAATCATTTAGAATACTTAGGTAGCTATACATCTCTGCTTAGCTGTTTCCATCTATTTAAAAAAGTACTTTGGTTGAAAACAGCAGTGATGTTCTGGTTACAAGCTATTATTAATAACTATCCCAATCTGTAGTCCGTCGTAGTCGATCAAAGTCTTGTTTTCACCAGTTTAATCTTATTGAAGGTTCTCTCAGCTGAAGTGACTGAAAAATTCATGAGATTTGTACATTATCTCATTTAAATCTTGTCGGTAAATGAGTAAAGAATAAACATTTAATCGGTTGGGAAAAGCTAAACAACACAGATTTATTTATTTGTTGTTATGCATTAAGCTACACAATCGGCTATCTGTGCCGTGGTCACCAAGGGTATCGAAAACCGAGTTTTAGCGTTATAAACCTGCAGACTTATCATTGAGTCACTGGGAGACAAAGCGATATAGAATGCAACATGATAAACTTCTGCGAATTTTCCTGTTTTTACATCCGATATGGTTAACCAAATTACACACAATCTTACTATAATGGATGTAGCGTGTATATATGTATCTAACTATGTACGTGAGCGAAATAATAAACACAATGTGGCGCCATTTATTGAATGGCACCACAAACAAAAATCCATAAAAAAATTCTCACTTTGAGTATTCAAGAATCAGATATTTAGAAAAATAACTACGGTATGTGCTACAACCACTGCTTTATCACAGAATACAATTTTAAGTAAAAGTACTCACCTCACAACAAGAGCAT